AATAGAAATTTGTTTCTAAATGCCTCAGGAACCATACTACGTCGTCAAAGTGCCGAAATATTCATTTTTTTATTTTTCTTATATGCCTGTTCGGACCTTCATTTTTACGTTTAGTTCACCCGTTTCGCCGCTAGATGACGTATCTCAATGCTGACTCAAAATAATTAATTACTCATTACCCGAACATTATTTATGAACATTTATGATAGTACCATGTAAATAATGCATTGCTGACCATTTTTTTATCATAAAAGTTTGTAGACTGTGCTCAGAAAGTGAGTAATTAACGATTTTGCATACTCATTATCGTGCATATTCCTTCTGCGCGCCGCCCACGCATGCCAGGTTGGAATAATTACCGAAAAACAATATCCCCGTAGACTTTAATGCAAAATTGAATTTGCTCGCGCCTATGTACTTGACTTTTCTACTTTTTTGACCACGTTTTTCTCTGGCACCACTCAACCAATTCAACCGGATGACACGGTTGACTTTGCTTTAGCGTGAAATTTACTCGCTCGCTCAACATTTACGTTCAAAGTTACGTTCGACCTAGTTACGTTCAAAATCATATTAAATAAAAATGTTGAAAGTATTTTGTACGCTTCATTCTTACACATACATATAACATTTGTATTTTCGAGCGGTTTATCTAAAAAAAAAAAAACAGTACTGCTAGCGCCATTTAGCAGTCAAACCCGGAATTTCATACAATAAGATATTTTATATTTTGCTAATACTTTTAAATTGTTCTGTGGGCACTATAGAAACAGACAAATTTTCTTTTACACAAGATTCATAGATCTGTTCGATCATCTTATCTAAATAATTTGAGGTGGTAATTCCATATTACCATGAATCGTCTATGGTAATGTTAGCTACATATGGTACAGCAGAACGTGACACTAAAATGGTAAAAGATGAAAAAAGAAACATTATATGATTAGTTTACTGAACATACCAATTAGTCTATTGAATAGACTATTTCATTCTGTATCTGTGTATAAAAGATTTACCCTGCATCTTATTTGTAAGGGCCTTACAGACTGTTGGTTAAAACGGTACAAAATAGAATTCAAGTTACATAATGCTAAGTGAGATGGTGCGACAATTCGTTATAAATTGAATAATCACACGAAGTAGATTATATCTGTAGATTGGTCTGACTACGTACAATACAAAATAAGCGGGTAACAGAAAAAAGTAGATAACTGTTGCTAATATAAAAAAATGGAAAATTTCCAAATATCTAGAGCTCTGTTTAGCAAATTTGTACTAAAAGAACCTTTTCCAGCACGTATATATAAAAGAATTAATAATGTATATTGACGTAACTTTCAATATTAATGAACAGTTCAAAGTCCGAAGAATATTACGGTTCATCCTCTTCCTATGCTTCACTGAGTTACAGAACACTATTATTCAGCTTAAAAGCTTTTCGTTCATAATGATACGGATGTTCCCAATTTTACCAGTCCAAGATCTTATCTCGTGCGCAATACTGCGATGAATTCTCACGTATGGTCATCACAAATTATGGTAATGTTCCTTCCATTTCTACTAGAAGGACATCTGCAATAACTTTCTCGTTAGGTATAATTAATCTTTCTTTCCAAAATGCGTATCCTTTGGTTTTACTTTAAACACTTTGTATAGTCGATGTCATGCATTTGAGGTTTTAATATTCATAATTTTAAATTAGCATTCTTCATTTACCGCTACTTATTTTCATGCAATACAAAATGAACGATAAATGAAATTTAGAGTAGAATTATTTCAGTAATTCTTTTTTTCAAAATTACAAGATTTATGTCATAAAGTAAAGAACTGTAGGTGTTCTACGTTAAATGTATGGAACTGTTAGGTAAACTTTCCGATGGACGAGTCCACTAAAAGGATCTATACGGTATTGTATGTATATCTTTCGCCTTTCCTTTTCTCCATTAGCGTAGCTAGATAAGGCACAAGGTGGACCCGATAAAGCTGGAAAATTTTTAAATTTGGGAGTTTGAGTTTGGAAGTTTAAAAAATTGGAAATTGAAAAATTTAGAAATTAAAAATTTGAAAATTTAAAGATTTGTGAATTTTAAATTTTTTAAATTTGAAAATTAATTATTATTCTCTAAAATTAAGTAATGGAACCTCTGTCAAATATATTGTCATTTGCATTAGAAAAGGTTTCTCAATGGAAGTCTATCATGCTGCACACGGTACCAGAAAATGAAAGGGTACCTGGTCCACCCAGAACAAAAATGCTAATTACGCCAATGCTTTTCTCCGTCTCTCTTACAATCTACCGCCATAGAACAAACAAATCTTCCATGGTATGCTGAAATCAAGAGATGATACATATATCGAAAGATATGTACATATACACGTATACACCATACATTTATGTTAGTCAAAGTACATTCGTGTCGCTGCTGTCAGTTTTTTCAATACACGCATATTGTACAAGTATGTTTTTAAAATGTCACATCGTACAGTAGATGAAAACGTCAAACCCATAAAAAAACAAGCTATATAGTAAAACGTGATTGATAAAAGTGCGAAATTATCGTTCAGATCGCTCGAAATAAACACAGGTACCATAGTTCATCGATTGCGGTTATCCAGTGCCATATTTTTCGTTCCAGAACGTGGCGTTTATTGCGCAAGATCCGATCACCAGCATTTCGCCATTTTCGTTGACCATTCAACAGTTACAATGAAAACGGCTATAACCTAGCTTCGACTGTTACGCGAGATACTGTATATCGATTCATCTCGATAGTGATCGAAAATTGTCGAGTGTGATCAAGATTCTTTGAAAAAATAAATTCTAAATCGAAGATTATTCTTTCTTTTCATTTTCTTTCTCTCGACTGTTCGTATCTTGCATGTATCGCTGTACTGGACGTTCCTGCGAACTTTACAGACTTTGAATATCGTATTAATAACAGGTGAGTATTTTTTATTTAATACTTTTTGCTCGTTTAGGAAAACGATGCGGTATAACATTCTTACAAATAACATGACTTATACGACAATTTATGGAACACAAATAATGAATTTAAAAAATCAACTTATAGCAAAGTCGTAATTTAATGAATATTTTTAAATTAAACAATTAATTTAATTTTAACGTTTCTGCAGTGTTTTTATACCTATTTTTCTGTTTTCTTTTTATGAAAAATTTATGATACTGTATATTTAAAATATTGAAGTTTATTGCTTCGATGTTCACCGGAAGCGAGTGTTTTTTTCCGGATGTGACAAAATTTTACTGCCTCAAAAGAAAGAAGGTCGAACAATACCCTTAGTTTTTGAAGTAGACAATTCACGTGTAATTGAACCCTCTTATTATTTATGTTAAAAAGAAAAGTTTTTAATTTCAGATATTTCAATTTTCAAAATTAAAAATTTCTTATTAAAGAAAACTTGATTCTCATATGAAAACATTATAACTAAAAAGTATGAATTTCGTTAGTAACACTGAAACAACATTAATTTGCATAAATGTCTGCATGTGAGATTATCATATTTGAGAAGGTTAAAGTTTCTTCTCAATTAACAAAGTTCAATGTATATTTATCGGTAAATGACGAATTTAATTTTGTAGAAATTGATGCACATTATATATAGGGTGATTCAAAAAGAATTATTATTTTGAACATCTTTAAAATCATAAGAGTAAGAGGAACATTTGTCCAATAAAAATTATTAACTACTAAAGAGGTCATCGTACGTTCATATCGATTATTTTGTAGGTGGAGTCGCTTAGGAAATATGAAGGTCATTTCCATTTTTTTAAACGCAACTACTTTCTTTACCTAAACCAATTCACTGGAATATTTTACATAAAATAATATAATGTCAGAAATCGCCAACTGGTAAGATTTAAATCTCATAAATTTCAGTTGACCCTGTATAACACAGAATTGATGTCCGGACAAAATGTATCGACGAGAGAAGCAACAAAACTATGCAATTGTTTGAACGAAGAAAACGAAGCACGTTGAAATTTCTAGCCCACACGATTTCTCAGCTTCTATAGACCGTTTCTGTTCATCTCTCTGTCTCGTTCTATTTTTGGACCGCGCATAGGTACGCAGACGTTTAAGCGATTTCATAGTAACAGAACCCGAGTCAGATAGATGCAGTTGCGAAAATCGTGACATCGGTATAATATATCATCAATCTACGAATCGCGTGAACTTGTAATAAAAGAATCACCTTATTCTCGACGAACGAGGAGAGGTTAAACTGCTGATTGTTAACTATGACTCGTTAACTCGGTTAACTGTGATCGTTAACGGATACAGTCAAGTATTAGAATGCGGTTTAATTTAGTTTCATGTAACTAGTTTTACTAGCTTAATTTAACTTAGTTTACGTAATGAGACATTGTTAATTTTCCTTGAATTCTTTGATCAGTTATGAGGTATAGATTAGTAATATTTAGGAAGCAGTTTGTATAGATATAGGGATATAAGGACATAGGGATATATCTTTAAAATTCTAGGAATCTAGGTGTCTATGGATATAAGGATCAACAGATACAAGTATACTATTAAAATCTAGAAATATAGAAATTTAGAGCTATAACAATATAGTAACCTATGGATTTTGAGATTTAGAAATATAAAGATATGAAAGTTTAAGGATCTGAGGATCTAGAGACTAGGGATATAAAAATATAAGAATATAGAAACCTTAATGTTTTCTGAAATATACTACTTAATTGTAAATAACTTGATACTAATAAGCATATACCAATTTCTTCGGTTGAATATTTTTGCTTAACACATCTAATACATCACAGTTTTGTTGTTTTTAGGTCAGTGATATATACGGAAAATGCTACAGTAAGAGTTAGCGATGTCTAGTAGTAGCGAAGAAAATAGGTATATGAGGAACAACATGATGCTGCAACGCGTGAAAAATGAGTCCAACGAAAACAAAATAAAGGAGGAGGAAGCTTCTACGTCGTTCCCTCTTGCTGAGAACTCCGACGACGATGATCCAAATGTGGCCGAAGTACGAAATATACAATCTTAAAAATCTCTTTACACTTAATCATCGTCTTCTTTAAAAATTTATTTATGATCGCAATAGTTAAATGCGTTAAAATATTATTGAAATTATCACAAATTGCTTCCTGAATGATTTGTATAAATTGTAGGTGGTCCTTTCAAACAAAGGAGGCCCGAAATTGATTCATCGTGGCTACATGTATACTTTGCATAAGAAGCAACCGTATAATATACGATGGAGATGCGTTGGCAGAACGATGCATTGCAGAGGTAGTCTTATCACGTCGACAAATTGTACGAAACCGAGGGTACGTATGGAGCACAATCACAAACCGGACTTCGCCGCTGCCCAGGTTGCCAGGAAACGATACTTGGCTCTTGGCAAACCTTGCGTGTTAACAAGTAAGTTTACTAACTTTCGTCGAAAAATTTGACTCGAAGTTTGATTAAATAAAGTAATACTAGTGGCGGAAGTGGTGAGCCGGTCTCCCATGTAAACATGCGACAATATAAATTTATATTGCACGAAAAATTTAATCAACTAGCATCTACTAGTTAAATATAATTTTTGATATTTATATTGCATACAATTGCTGTATTCTAATGGTATCTATATCTGAGTCGATTCGACTACACCCGTCAGTACTTCATATTATCTGTATTGATATAAAAGCATCGCGTGTTTTGCAGACATCGAAGGGAATACAAATCCTATGAATGCACCACAACGGATGATTCATAAGGAAAATGATATCCCAAAGGAGCAGAAAGGAAGTCGACTAACAACGACAACGCAAGCAACAGCTAGAAAAGGTGAGTTTTTAAAAAAAATTGTGTTATGATATTAAGGATTAATATAAGTCAGCGATGGTTTCTGTGTTAATTTATTTTCTAGTCCAAAATGTATTTAATAAATTGTTATGTTTTAATGGAAAGAATGTTATTTTGTTGAATGGTTCTCCAGAAGATGTGGGTGAAAAAATAGATAACTCCTATATTCTATGATTAAATAACAAATTTTAATCGTTGAAGATTGAAAGTTATAATAGGATAAAAATAAATAACCTCCTAAGTACAGTGAAATCTCGCTATATGGCTCGATATATGGCTGCAGGAATAGGCCTAAGCACTGAGATTGTGCGCAAGCGCAAAAATATAGACAGCGAGAATACGCACTCTAAATTTGAAAATTTTAACCTTTGAAGTGTCTAAATCCTTAAATAGAATAGAATGCGAGAATATTTGGGATGAGTGTCTAATAAAGAGAGAGCCATAAAGAGAGACTCCATTGTGAAGAATTAATTCTTAGTGTTGGTCTTTTGTGTATCATGGATATGTTCACATGGGGGGACATTAATTAATAGTTTTTAGTTGAAGTTATAAATTTAAAACAGTTTAAATATCTCTTTGATTCGATAAAAAAATTGATCCTCTAAAAATTCAAAATTCGAAAACCGTTACAATATATTTACTCTTAATAAATAAAATTGAAAACTAAGAACAGAATCATTTGTACATATTCCTTTAGTATAAATTACTATGACCGAACATTATAATTGATCTCAAATTCTCAAGATCTCAAAAAATGAATTATGTAAACTCAAATTATATTGAATTGAATCGTGTTGAATTTAACACTAGGACTATCAGTATTTTTGGTCAATTTTAAAATTTAAAAAATACAAATATTCCTTATTTTTTCAAAAGTTAATGCACAGTTTGATAAAACCACGTTAAAAATTATGTAATATAAAGCAAGAAGCAAGTCATTTCGACTTAATTAGTAGTTCTAGTATTAATTACATACATCGAATTGAATTACGTAAAACTAAATCCTGTAAAATCGAATTGAATAACGTTGAGTCAAATCGAATTGAACCGCGGTGAATCAAATAGTATCGAATTGAATCGCGTCGAATTTTTTCGGTAAGCGAATGTTGTTAGTAGAGTATTCATTCACGTTCGGCACCCGATCTGAACGAAACAATAACCGTATGGCGGAAGACTGGCCGTTTGTGCATAAATTTTCCCAAAATATATAAAGAGCGAGTACTCGCTCGCTCAGTCAAAACGCACCCTAAGTTACCTAACTAACAACGCATTTTAATTGCGTTCTTGTGTTTTGTCCTAAGATGGCGGGCATCTTGAAGATGCGCGCGAAAAAAAGGGAGCCGTAGAAGCTGCCGATCGATGAGAATCCGAGCGGTGAGCCCGACCGAGTCGAACGTGATCAGGTCGGTTAGTAATTCCTTAGCGAAGAGAGACCCGGGAACGCGCACACGATAGCAACACGAAACACGGTACGGATAATATGCGTCGACGACCGGCGGCGCCGTCGCACATGCGCGCCCTGACGCGCCCCTGTTCGTTCACCGATTTCGATTTTAGTCACTCCCGGGTTCGGCTTCGAGGAAAATCGTTCCGCTCTCGTAGCGGAGAGCACTGTCGAAACTCGTTGGGAAGAAAACGTTACGGTTTTTAGTAACGATCCTGTCGATCGGATAGAGATAAACGCGTATTTACAAACACACTCTCGCGTTCGGCAATCTTCCGGTCGTGACGAGTATATATTTATACAACACGTTGGAAGGCATACCACGATAGAGAGAAAGAACGAGAATTTTTAGCGGTTCTGCTGTGTCCCTCGGTCCCGCGTACAAGGAACGGCCGAATACGATACCGGTAAAATCGTGGAACGTTTGCACGGCAGAGAGATCGATACACGCTGAGAAACACAGTAGGCTTTGGTGTCGATTCTATCGAGAATATCGAGGGGAAAAAGGGAAACTGGATATACATACATACGTGAAACACGAATATCCACTGTTTGGTAATCGTGAGGCCCGAGGATCGATAAATTGTCGCGTGGTCGTCGGTATAACGGCTTTCTCGACGAAGACGCAACGCGAAATCGAATCGGTTCGTAGCCGCGAATCGAACGGATCGGATTGGGTTAAGTGATACTACGAGAAACGACGAGCAGAGGAACAAAGACAGAAGGGGAAAAAAAGCAGAGGTACGGTAGACAAGCGACGTAGCAGCGGCGTGTGCCACTCGATACCCGTGCTCGGTCGCAACGGTTGCCATTTTATAGCCGGTCGCTCGTGAGAGATCTTCGGGGAGGCAAGAAGGAGAGGGAGTGATTAAGTAAGAACAAAAGAGCGAGTAAGAGAATGCGAAAGAGATAGACTGATAGAAACGGTGCGAGAAAGATCGAGGGAACGTGCAGACGGAAACGTCGTTTGTAGATGGGCGAAGGGAGGGGAGATCTCGAAGCGGAAAAGAGAGGGGAGGAAGAGAAGAAAGAAAGGCTTACAGACGGTGTAAAATGTTTTTGGATCGTTCATGATTATGCACCGTAGATTTTTAAAAGTTATTTTTCTTTTTTCGTCGCCGATTTTATCCATGCTTACAATTTTTCAGTACAATGTCGATCTATTGGCTGCGTAATATACGTGTGCTATACTATCACACGTTCTCATCGGATAAATCGTTAATACGTATTATCCATATGTCGTCTGCTAAATGACACGGTGCGCTAAAAAGAGAGGGAGCAATAGAAAAACCTTGAAAGGGAAGAAAGATAGTGCGTGAACACGCGTATAGTTTTATCTATTCATTAGACGATTATTGTTAGTATTTTTAATAGAAATAACGTATCTGACATATTTTTAAAATTACACAATTCACGATTTATCAGATATAATGATATGCTATACATACTGAGAAATTAAAGGATTTATTGGGCATTCCTTTGCAAATGATATGTTATTTTGGACATTATCGAATAATGAAGCAATAAAAATATATCTTCGAAATTTCTCATTCGCATTCTCGTAAAAGACGACAACGTTCAATTACCGAGACGTTGTCATTCAACAATAACCGCGTGGTTGAATTTTCGCTCAATTTAAAACGAGTCGAATGGTTTGATCACAGTTCTTTATCGAATCAAGTATAGTATATTCGATTCTACAGAATTCTCTTCTTTTTCAAAAATACTTAATGTTACTAGATAATAACTTCTATCTACAATACAGTCACATTTACTATCTTTATTGGATATTATAGATCAAAGTTATTTCATATAAAATATTTTTAAGAAAAAAGATCTCTCTGCAGAACCTCCTTTACCACTTAATATTGATGGCCATAACGCAATCATAATTATTAAATTATTTCATACGAGCATAATGGCTACCCATTCAATATACTACTACATACATAAATAAGAATTTCATTTTAATATTTGAACCTACTTTGACCATTTAGGAAAGAGATAGACTGATAGAAACGGTGCGAGAAAGATCGAGGGAACGTGCAGACGGAAACGTCGTTTGTAGATGGGCGAAGGGAGGGGAGATCTCGAAGCGGAAAAGAGAGGGGAGGAAGAGAAGAAAGAAAGGCTTACAGACGGTGTAAAATGTTTTTGGATCGTTCATGATTATGCACCGTAGATTTTTAAAAGTTATTTTTCTTTTTTCGTCGCCGATTTTATCCATGCTTACAATTTTTCAGTACAATGTCGATCTATTGGCTGCGTAATATACGTGTGCTATACTATCACACGTTCTCATCGGATAAATCGTTAATACGTATTATCCATATGTCGTCTGCTAAATGACACGGTGCGCTAAAAAGAGAGGGAGCAATAGAAAAACCTTGAAAGGGAAGAAAGATAGTGCGTGAACACGCGTATAGTTTTATCTATTCATTAGACGATTATTGTTAGTATTTTTAATAGAAATAACGTATCTGACATATTTTTAAAATTACACAATTCACGATTTATCAGATATAATGATATGCTATACATACTGAGAAATTAAAGGATTTATTGGGCATTCCTTTGCAAATGATATGTTATTTTGGACATTATCGAATAATGAAGCAATAAAAATATATCTTCGAAATTTCTCATTCGCATTCTCGTAAAAGACGACAACGTTCAATTACCGAGACGTTGTCATTCAACAATAACCGCGTGGTTGAATTTTCGCTCAATTTAAAACGAGTCGAATGGTTTGATCACAGTTCTTTATCGAATCAAGTATAGTATATTCGATTCTACAGAATTCTCTTCTTTTTCAAAAATACTTAATGTTACTAGATAATAACTTCTATCTACAATACAGTCACATTTACTATCTTTATTGGATATTATAGATCAAAGTTATTTCATATAAAATATTTTTAAGAAAAAAGATCTCTCTGCAGAACCTCCTTTACCACTTAATATTGATGGCCATAACGCAATCATAATTATTAAATTATTTCATACGAGCATAATGGCTACCCATTCAATATACTACTACATACATAAATAAGAATTTCATTTTAATATTTGAACCTACTTTGACCATTTAGAATAGTAATAAAGCATGGTGGAATTGAAATAGTAGTATAATGAAAAAACGAGAGTATGATAACAAATATTTAAACAATAAAATATTGAGAATAACATTTTGTTGCTTTAAAAATATATGCAGACACTATTCGCGTAAATAAGATTAAGACTTTGGGGGCCCCAGAATTTTTTATTCCGAATACTTTCACACAAAAGCGTTGAAAGAAAAACGATATTTGTCTTGCTAGCGTTTGAGAATATCGCGTGTTTTCGTCCCGTAGAGAGAACATACGGAAACGCGATTAGCGTCGAATCGGGATCTAAAACAGCCCGACAACGAGCAAAACGGCTACGACGGCGGGTCGGCTTGTACTGGTGGCCTGTAAGGACACC